AATTAAATGTTGTTTGTATGATTGATTTAATTGTATGACTGAAGCCCTTAGGTTTCATTCTGCAGGTTTTAGGTTCACAAATGATTAAATTAAGGGATTAACACTGAATACTAATCATCCAACAAGACAAATCATCATAAAATAACCTTGCAAGGATGCAAACTGTTCCAAACTTACCACACTTCTTCCTCAGTCTCAACATTTACACTAAAATAGTGAAACTTTTTCCTCCCCTAGTAAGTCAAATAGAAGAAAATGGCATGCTAGTTTAATAGAAATGCTTTAATAGTCCCTATGTGCTGTTCAGAATGTCGTTCCGGCCTCTGTAAGCGGATGACAGAGGACAACAGCTGAGCTTGTAGAAGAGCAGTAACCTCCCTGGAAAAGAAAGCCCACTCCCTCACTTGAACCACTAGGGGCACTGCCACAACCTTGATAACTAGAGTACCGCCGTCCCCATGGCTTGGACCTCATCTGGATGTACTGTAGCTGACAGAGTGGAGGATAGGTGTCAATTCTCATTAAGGTGAGAGGGAAGGGAAATGGACAGCGGGAGAGACGGCGGGAAAGAAAGAGAGAGAACTCGACTGTGTCACAGGTGGAAACATCATTTCCCAGGCAGCTCTGACACAGTCTGTCAACCAGCAGAGATGGAAAAGGACTCCAGACAAACATACACTCACTGACACACACACACACACACACACACACACACACACACACACACTGCAGCACAGACGCCCTCAGTCTCACGAGTGTTTAGATACACATTGGCTGGTAAACAATTTCACAAATTAACATATAAAGTGGAAAAGGTCCGCACAGACACGAACAAACAAACTTCCAAACTAACATTGCAGGCAGACTGCCTACTTCAGTTGACTCTCTAATAGTCTCTATCATCAGTATTGTAACTAAGAATCACAAGTGCTCTATTAAGCATGTGTTTCTCCCATCAAGCTATTAGCATAACTACATATAAATGCAAACAGCCCTGTAGTGCGTTCACACACACACTATTTGACTCATCTCACATGTCCATTTAAGTTGATAGTGACTTTACATCAGGTAGTACACACACACATACACACATAAATTGCAGGCATTGTTTTTCCTTAAATGCTAATAGTCTCCTCTGGCTTTATGAATATTTACCATGTCTCAGTGGTGCACCATTGCTACAAGCGTGTCATACATGCTTTCATTTCTGTGCTCACCTTGGGTGTGTTTATCCAAGGCTTCCTGTGTTGTGTACTATGTGTGTGTGCCCTACACTGCCTCGATGTGACAGGGGTGTTGGTGAATCTCAGCATGAGCGGGAGCCAAAGTAACCTGCGCATGCACACACACACACACCAAAATATGTTCTTCGCCTGGTCCTTGTCAGTCGCTTTCCCATTGAGAAGACCGGAGAGGTCAGTGCAGCGAAACTCAATTAAAGCATCCGTACGGCAGGCAGGGAATGAATGAGGAGGTCTGTGCGGGAGTCAGCCGACAGACAAAGAGGTCTTAATTGATCTTGTTCGCTTGCTCTCTGTCTCTCTCTGCAACTTCATCACAATTAAAAGGAGATTGCAGCAAATCAAAGGTGCAGCTGCTCCTCCGCGTGGCACTGATGGAGCCATTTTATTTTACGGTCTTTATGCCCAGGTTTAAGTCAAACGGTTTATAGGTGCAATTAAGTGAAATTAAAGTGGTAATGTGAGACGTACTTTTTACAGTACGTTCATTTTTCAGAAAATTGTACAAAGATGTAAGAGAGGACCTCTGCGTGCACCCTGAAACATATAAATTATTTCAACAATCCAGTGTCTGCTGGTGCATGTGCTGGCAGGACAGACTTCTCATGCAGGGCTGTATGCAATGATTGAAGGCAGCTCCAAGCTCCCTGGCCCAGCTATGCATCCGTGCGGTCAGCTGAATCGGCCTCCTCCAAGCCTCAGAAAGACCATTTCAGAAGCACCTTACCGGGCGTCGCTCCCCACCTCTTGCCCCCTCTCTGAGGCGTTGGAAACTTAATGCACACAGCCCCCCCGCCAGTCGATCACACCGAGCTCCACTTTTCAAAGAACTAGGACACTTTGAGGCTTACCTCTTTGGGGTCCTTTTTAAATGAGGGTAAAAAAGGGTTGAGAGTTGAGAAAAAGAAGTAAAAAAAGCGACCCTGTAAATTGTGAGCACAGACGGCTTTTAGCACACACCACTTAGCAACAAGGCTGATGTGCAGTTTGACACATTTAACTTCCTGCGAGAGAGACGGAGACAGGAACAAGTTGATGTGAAATGCAAGTTAAAGCTGCGGATTTGCCTGTGAGCAATCCTCAGCACTAGTTAATTTTAGATGATGGGAGGACTTTGAGCGGGGTGGAAGGCATCTGCTTGGAATAGTGGAAATTGCTTTTAAACACTGCTTAAAGACGAGATGAGGGAATGTATTATCCAAATGGATTGGGCCCACTATTAAAGATAGGCTGGAGGCGTGGACTGGACGGATGGTCTGAGGAAGAAATTGTGCCACTCTAAAGATTATTTAACTTGCCTGGGAGGCGCTCACATGGTCAAGCTATTTCTTATTTCCATTTATCCAATTCGATTTTCATTGAGGATGTGATCAAATTGAGCAATTCAGTGGTCATCCAAGTCCAGTATGGGTCTCTACTTCACAGGCTCAACCAGTTAGGGTCCCTCCGATTGCTTTTCTCTCCACCAGTAGGCCGTGCTTGAGCTTAAGAAGCATCTGGATCAGAGCAAAGAGACTTTCAAAGCAGTATCTCATTACAACAAGCATTCCGATGGGAAAATTAATAGCCAGTAGAAAGTGAATACGAGATCTGTAATTGAGTGCTGTATTTCTATTAATGGACTGTAGTAGCTGTGAATCTTTGTGTGTCAGCTTTAAGTAGACCCGAAGATTAAAACTAGCTTTGCCAAGCCTTCAGTGCATTAAACAGTACACTTATTTCCTGGCATGTATACTGTTGCTTTTAAATTTCACAAAACTGAATAGCATCCAATTCAGTTCAAAGACACATGCAACCTGTGATGAGTGTTAGCAGGTAGGAGCAGCGTGGCTATAATAGGACGCAAGTTAAAAAGGGTGCTGCTACTGCCACCTCCAAATAGTTCCTGCCGCAGAGACCTGAGGTGCAAGTTCAGACAGCAGGTGCCTCCGGCGTGAAGGTATGCTAAAAGCAACACAATTGCCTGCTTCTCTTCACCCTGGATCCCCAACCCGGGCATTTAGTCATTGCTCTGCATGATCTAAAGTAAAGCAGAGGCAGTGTTAAAATGGGCGCCAGCTTAAACCAACAGATCTGAACTCCTACCGAGTGAATTTGCACCACTGTTAGACCGTTACTTTGAACTTCACTCTTACCGCCCGCAGATTTCTCACCACGTTTTTGCCCGGACAAGCCGAGTTGTGATTCCACCCAAACTGCCTGTGTCCGTAATTGCCCTCACAAACGGTCACACACTCGCCAACTCTCTGTACCTGTGTGACAGGGCTGCGCATGATCGCACCTGCTGGCCTCTCACTTTGTCTACGTTCTACGGGTGTTCAATTGGCCCAAAAAACATGACACTGGCAAGAGTGAACAAAATCTAAATTCAGGCTGAAAATACGTCCTTTCTCTCCTGCACCGTCTCAGTCACACTCCGACAGATGACATTTGCGGAGACAGAAAAAGAGAGGGCAGGCTGGGTTTTTTTTTGTGGGCTTGGTATGATGAGAGGAGAATAGCGAGGGATGATGAATAAATGAATAATACATCTGTGCTGTCATTCCTCTCTTCCTGCTCCACCTCCCTCTCTTCCTGTGTCAGATGGAGTCGGTCCTGCGAGGCGGTCTGATCTTAGTTGGGATTGTCAGGTATGGTCGACAGCAAAGTGACACGTTGACAACGGCCCCTCGGTGACACATGAAGCGGCTCTTTTGTTAAATGGGGTTGACAACCCAAATAAGAATTGTTTACATGCAAAACAGTGCCAGCAGGTCTGCAGTCACTGTTAAGTGATATTGCAAATATTGAAGGGTTCTTGAAGGAGCATGTGTTCCAAGAGGAGGCATTGTCAACTAAACATATTCCTCCCTACGACTCCACTTTATAACTTCCAGCTAAGGACAAAAGCTCTCTGTTCTCCATCACAGGAGAGATCAGGCCTTTTGATGAAACGTCTGATGTAAAATGCAGAAGTTTCACTCTCCTAAAGGATCTCTAGAGGTAAAGACATAAACACCTTTTAATGGTTATAATGTTTGATCACAACAGAACAAAGGAAACAGTGTCCTCTCATGCATATACAATTTATTAGACTCCATCACTGCATCTCCTCCCCTCTGTCTCCCGTCAAATGGCAAGATGTTCTCACCTTAATTGTAAATGCACTCTTCTGCATGCAAATACCAGTGTCCCCCTCTCCCAGCCTCCTTTCCACACTCCCCTCCGATTTTCAATTAAGATCCAGACAGAGATAGAGGATCTTAAAGGGAGCGCACTATGGTGGGTCGGGTTCTGCCTCTGCTCCAGACATATAGGAGGAGGGGGGGTTATTGAGTGGCCATGACCCCAGAGCACCCTCACCTCACTGGGCTATCACACATCTCAACCAGGCCTCTCTTCTACCCAATCGTAGCGCGCCGTGATCCCACCCAGCAGAGGTGGAGGTGTCCTTGATTAGACTAGTCATTGAAATGAAGGATTGAAACTGACTGTGTGCGTGTGTGTGAGTATTGAATGTCGATGGTCATTATCTGATAGTGATGGAGTGTTTTGGGCTGTGGTTTGGGGTTGTATGAATATTAATAGGTGGATTTAATCTCCCAGTCTTACCATAAGGATGGCCCCTAGCAATATAACTGCAGCTTCATGTTTGTGATTACAAAATATATCTGTAATTGGATAATCATAGGATTAAAGGAAATGGTTTTGGAACAACCCCACGTTTGCAATGTCTCATGGCAACATTATAATACTTCTTTTCTTCCTCATGTACTGCAGCTCGCTGAGTCCAGACACAGACGCTGATGGTTCGTTCCAGAGGGAGGGATTCGGGCGCCAGAGCATGTCGGAAAAACGCACCAAACAATATGAAAATGCTGCAGAGTTGGGGATCATCAAGGCGCGCAAGTCCAAGAGCATGGATCTAGGTAAATGCTGTGCCGTGCTTAAAACACACACACACATTATACATGCATGGAGTCAAGTGTGTGATCAAAGGAAACATTCAACACTTTGGGAAATATGTCTTTCTTTCTTTCTTAATACACAGATGCTGTTTTACTGAGGGTTACTTACCAGGCACTGGGCGCTAATTTTGTGCGTTTTTGAGCCAGGTTTCAAGTGCACAGTGGCAGGTTGCGTCTGAGGTTGCTAAGCAACCTTGACAAGCACCGTATCATAGAGTGCACAACTGATCTCCTTCCAAGGGCTGTTTATATGTGTGTAGGCCTATCATCCAAGGGACAGATGTAAAGCTCTGCACGAACCTGATCAGCTTTTCCATATTTACCACAGACTGATGTTTATGGAAGAAGGGAGATATCTATCGGCTGACTGGTTGTTCCACAACATAACATGTGGTGCGCGCTGCTGCATTCTAAAAGCTGAACTCTATTAATCTTGAAGCGCAGCCATCGCGCCCTGAAATATAGGCACACCTATGATGACATCATTCTGGCATTTGCGCACGCCTGCTGTGCATCTACAATGATAACAATGAATTTGAGACCAGCTCAGTGGCCTAGTGGTAGATTGTCCGCCCTCAGACTGGCAGGTCATGGGTTCAATCCCCGGCCGGGTCATACCAAAGACTATAAAAATGGGACCCTCTCTGCCTCTCTGCTTGGCACTCAGCATCAGGGGTTGGAATTGGGGGGTTAGATCACCACGTGATTCCCGAGCGCGGCACCGCTGCTGCTCACCGCTCCCTCAGGGGATGGCTCAAATGCGGAGAACAAATTTCACACACTCAGGTGTGTGACAATCAGTGGAACTTTACCTTTACCTTTACAAAAACGCGGCATGTGTACGGCCCCTTTTTCTGCCACTTAATTTTCATGGTTGCTGGTCCTGGCCAAGAAACAGTTCGGGACGTAGCACCACGTAAAATGGCTTTTAAACGTTGGTTTTTCTATGGACCAAACAAAAAAGATACAACTCGTTGGTTAGTGAACTTTAGAGGTGCCTGTGGTTAAAGGTGCACTTTTTCTTACCTTTGGACAGAACCAGGCTAGCTCGTTCCACCTGTTTCAAGTCTTTGTGCTAAGCTAAGGTAGCTGACTGCTGGAAGTAGCTCCATATTTAGCATACAGACATGAGAGTTAGATAGAACTTTTGTCTAACTTTCTAAAAGAAAGCAAATAAGTGTATTTGCCAAAAACTTTTCCTTTAAAACAGATATTCAGTTGATTATCTTTTCATAGTTTTGGCCACCATTTTTACTGATTACAGTAACTTTGTACAAAAGTAGTCGTTGAGATCTGGGACCATGGTGACATCACTACAACAAAGTCTGATGTAGCAAAAATACAAGCAGTGAGACAATCAGGCAGGTTGTAAACAAGGGAACAGTTTTCGTAGACTAGAATAAACCACTTTAGTTACAGGGAAAACCAAAAGTAAATGCTCCTGGAATACCACAGTAATCTCTAATAAAATGGCAAGTACATTAGCTCAATGATTAATGTTTACAAGAAGGATCTTGGGTCACAATTTTGGCCTCCAGTGTTGGTTCATTTATAGTAAAACTGGAATGACTGTTGGAAACCCCCAGAGTGTTGATGTACCAGAAACTTTTGGCATTGTACATTTCTGTTTCTAAAGTGATGTAGTTCTGTTTACATGTACAGTACATGAGGTGACTTATGTCATCGGGAGGTGAGGGGGATGGTCGATGGAGTGACACCTAGGCAACCCAGCTGCGTACGGACATTGCAGCCTTTTCCAACTGTCACTGTGCCACCAAAACTAGGTATTTTAAGCCAGAACATGATCTTTTTCTAACAATAACCAAGTGGTGCTGAAACATAACTACATGTTGACCACAAAGTTTTAACATTTCCGCTACATAATGACGTGCAAACGTTACATACCGTATCCATGGTGTGCAGAAACGTACAATGCCTACATTTATTCTGGCGATTGGGTTAGATCTCTCTGTAACCTGTGACTCCTCAACCACTCAGCTTTTGTCACATTTTCCAGCTGCCTCAGTAGAGGCACAGTAGTGAGAAAAAGAGAACGATTTTAAAAAAGAGAAACACACATATACACACACACACACACACAACACAGTCCTTCAGTGCTGTCCAGCCACCACCTCTCCTCTTTTGGCCTTCATCTCCCATGGCCCTGTGTCCAGTGGACCATGGGTAAAACACAAGTAGGAAGAGAACAATGGCCTCTTTAGTGGCTGTCTAATGATGGGAAGGCCAGTGAGACACATGCATGCACGTACACACACACAGGCACACCCTCAAACACACAGACTGTATCTAAGGAAGAGGATGGTGTGAGTTCAGAGCCTCTCCCACTGAGGCTGAAGCAGACGCTGCCTTCTCTCGGATCACTGGCTAATCATAACAGATAACAGCCAACTCCATTCCACATGGAGCCCAGAGACCTGTGGAAATCTTTGTCTCTCCCACAGACTGATACACGTTCGGGCCACTGCACTCAGCTCTGTGGGGTCCGCCTTCCCTGTATTAGCTCTTTGTCCACCCTCAAAACTTTTCCACAAAGTCAACACAAACTTCCAGCGGAAAGTGCTACTTAGGAGAAAGATAATAATTAGCCACTGGATAGGTTTCACTGAGCAATTAGTTGAGCACAAAAATCTCTTCCATTATGTTTTAAGTGTCGAATAAAAATATAATTGGAGATAACAGAGGACAGGAAGTGAGCAGAGTGGACAGCATGGCTCCAGGATGGCGTTCTCAGCATCCCAAATGCACATTTTATCAATGAGTTTAATCAAAAAAGCTTCTTAATTGTTCCAAAGCGGCATCAGCATTTATTTGTGAATTTGATTAGTTCTAGAAAACAGCAGTTTGTTTTTGACAGAAGAGACTAGTTTATCTGCTCATAAGACGATGCCTCACTCTTGGGATAACCAGTGTTACTGATGTATTACAAATCCCTATTATTGCTCTATTATGTCTTAGTCCTCCAGATCAGGGTGTGCGTTGTTAGATGTAATTCAAAACCACATTCCCCTCCACCACTTTCAGGGCCCAATTGAGTTTGTGAAATATCCTGCTGACAGAAATCCTCGCCAGTATAAAATCATAATCCATCAGTGAGAACATCACAGCATTCAGATGGTGCAGGGAAATAACTAACTTGTTCCCCTCACATAATAACTCTAGTAACTGACATGAGTTCCCAGAGGAGTGTTTCAGTGTGTTTCAGTCGATACATGGAACGCCAGCTCTGGAGTCTGTGTTCAAAATGAAAGCTACATATTGTGATTTGGTTCGAATCTGATGTCACATAAGTTCCATTTATCTCAAAGGCGCACACTGCTACAGTATGTTGATTATTTTAATGAAATTATTACATCAAAGCCACACAATGAGAAATGGCCAACGGGTAATGTATTAGAGAGCTGAAAATGAAGTGAGCCACAGAACATGGTGCCAGCATTTATCCTTAAGCTCTTTCACTGGCGCACTGTTGGACACTGAAGTTTGTCTTCAGAAGTTGGGTGAAGTAGCGGGTGTGGATATACCTATCTAATTTCCATTAACACTTTAATAAAGCTGCTCTGCGCTTTCAAAGCCATGCTGACTAAATGGTTAACATGCTCAACAATGCTGTCCCCCTGCAGACTCTCATTTTATTCTGTCACTTCGTATTTTTGTCCCTCCTTTTAATCGTGTTCCAGGTGCTCACAAATCACATCAGCAGATGGATTTCATGACTTTGAAGCCCATCATTGTTGAAATAGGCTAAACTGGTCAGACACCCCGCGGTTCAATCCCATTTAGATGGGGAACAAGATTGAGAGAGGGAAGAAAAGGGAAGAAAGAGACGTGAGGTGCCGCGGCTGGCAGTAATACATTAGCACATTCCAGCCACTTTGCCGTGTAAGCCTCATGATTGACAGGTCCTTGCATGAAATGTACACTGAACAAAGATTTAAACGCAGGACTTTTGTTTTTGCCCCCATGTTTCACAGGTTTAAGTTAAAGTCAAAGACTTTTTTGTGCACTCAATAAATATATTTCTCTCAAGCTTTGGTCACTACTTTGTTGAGATCCGTGTTGATCCGTGAGCACTTCTCCTTCTGTAAGACAGGTGTGGCAAATCAAGATGCTGATTAAACAGCATCATTACGACACAGGTGTGCGTTGAGATGGTCACAATGAAAGGTCACTCTAAAATTGTTTTTTAAGGAGCGTGCCATCGACTGCAGGAATGTCCACCAGAACTGTCGCCCATGAACTAAATGTTCATTTCACTACAATAAGCTGTCTCCGATGTCATTTCCTGGAATTTGGCAGTACATCCAACCAGCCTCACAACCACATAAGTCGGTTACAATGACAAACCGCTGTCTATTAGACTAGAGCCAACAAAGAGAGGACTCAGAAAAAAAGATGTCAGTGCAGTAATAATCATTCCTAACAGAGGTATCCACAGGCACAAGGACTAAACTGGGTCAAAAATGCAAAAATCTGGTCTAATACGAAGAAAACACAAAGAAAAATGGCTAGAGCAACAACTGAGAACAAACTGGCAACAGACAAAGGACAGCACAAGGACTAAATACACAAGGGAGGATAGGTAATAAGGGACAGGTGAAACCAATCAGGGTGAGGCAGGTAATCACATAGGAGGGAAACACATAGGGGCAGGAAGTAAAGTACCTGAAACGAGAGACAAGGGTGAGTATCAAAATAAAATAGGACATACATGACCTTAATGGATGTAACACTGTCAGGTCAAGCGAGTGGTGAGCTTCCCTGAGGCAGTGACGGGTTTCAGAAATGTGTTGGTTATGCAATCCAGCTGTTGCATTAGCTTTTTGGGTGGCTGGTCTCAGATGATCTTGCAGGTGAAGACGCTGGATGTGCGGTGTCCTTGTGGACCTGGATGTGGTTGCATGTGGTCCAAGGTTGTGAGGCCGGTTGGATGTACTGCCAAATTCACAGAAACGACACCGGTGAAGTAGTAGTAGTGAAATGAACATTCAGTTCACCGGCAACAGCTCTGGTGGACATTCCTACAGTCAGCATGACAGTAACAAGCTCAAAACTTGGGATGTCTGTGGCATTGTGTTGTGTGATGTACTGTACATTTTAAAGTGCTTACACGGATCTCAACAAATTTTGAGAGAAATATATCAATTGAGTGCATAAAAAGTGTTCTTTCACTTAAACCAGTGAGAAATGGGAGAAAAACGTGTTGCGTTTGAGCTTTTGTTCAGTATAATATCAGTTGTACTTTGATTACTATTCTCCCTGTTCTTTCTAATTCTGTCTCTTTCTGCTCTGCATGTGCTCAATAACATGATCCAGAAGCCACTAACCACTCATGCTTGTTTATGCTCTTTAACAGTATCAGATGAGATTAACTGCAGCACAAGAACCAATGGAGGTAAGCAACCATGCCTGGACCAGCTCAATACTGTCACCGTTATTACAATGGACCACCGTGATTGTTCAGCTGGCGCCGCGGGTCAATAATAGAGATTCGAAAAGCAGCCTCACACTTTCTCCATAACCAGCTCATAACCAACTATTATTGGTTGTGTGATCTTGGCACCTTTAGATGCATATGGAGGAGAGAGTTGTTTGAGGTAATTGCAGCATGATCAAAAGAGGTTTTTCATATTGCTGAGAGGGAGTTGCATGGCGTTGAATAGAGACTTGGCAACTAATGTGGGAACCTGTGCCATTGTGCTCGTTCTGCAGTGCAAATGATTGAAGAAAACACTCATTACTCCAGGAGTTGTGTAGGGCTGGAGGGAGCCAGGCGATGGAGTGGCATTTGCAATAGCGAGACATTCATTGCCAGTTGGCCTCTTCAGCTCGCTGCAATTGATCCATCATAGTCAGGCTGTTTTGAGCTCTGGTTGGAGCATGTTAGAGTGCATTCACTCTATGAAATTAACACAGAATGAGCTGATGACTGAGTCATGGGGGGATATTTTTGAGTGATTTCCGAGAGCACTAATTGGAAACTAACGTGCCTTTTGCCTGTTGTGTGCAGGGATATTTGAAAAAGTCCCATGTGGTATATCACACCATGCCATATCAGGTACTTGATAATACATTTATGCAGAAATATTAAGAGATGAACAGAGCGTAGTCACTGATAGGCGAACGATGGTGAATGAGAGACACGCACTTCAAGCTCATCCTTATCCAGCCAATTCAGTTTCTAATCCAGTGGGTTGCCAGACTTGGCACGGGAGTTGCCAGCCTCTGCATATTAATAGTTTAGCTAGTTGAGTGAGTAGGCTGAGCTGGAGAGAGATGAACAGATCTAAAAATATGTTTTTATTGGGTTTATAAAACTGCACAATCACAGGACAGTATCCAGCATCCTTGATTGAGATATTAACCAGTCCAGGTAATGATGATTCCTTTGTGACACAGCATACAGAGGACGTCCTCTGTCAGGCTAATGATCCACAACTGGCAGAGACATAGGAGCCTGAGTGACCCAGGGACGCCTCGCATTCACTAGGATACCTGGACATGGCCTTCCCCCAACCACCTTGGAGGCTATTTTTAACATAATTACCCTTTTACCGCCCTGCTTAAAGCCCCAGCTCTCTGAATAAATTATGTGTAATGGAGCCCCTGTCTGTACACAGATCTTTACATGCAAGGGCCCGTGGTGAATAATGGCTGGGGAGCATAGTTTTAGCTGCTCTAATTATACTATGGGCTCCTGTTCCTGTAATAACCGCTGCTGATTTATTCATGGAGTTTGCCATACCTCCCCTTTAACGTTTAATGGCAATGGATCTTCTCCAATTAACTGTCCTTGCCCTTAATCAGGCTAAGGAGCACAGCACGTCGGCCATGACAAAATTCCAGGTGCACTTTTCCCCCTATTTGGTTTGATTGTCTTTCTTTTTGTATATTTCATTTTGATGATTTTCATTTCTCCTCCAGACGTGTGGGGAGTGACAAACGCGTGTCTGTATGCGATGGGGGAATATGTATTTTCATCCCTCTGAATAAGAGGGAGATGAGGAGCAGAGCACTGAGGCTTCTGTTGTGTGATAGGAATCACATAATAGACTGGCATACAGAGAGCTGTCCGTCAAACTCTCCCAGGAGAGCCAGGACTGCTTCTGATGAAAACAAAGGCAGGTTCGAGGCAGCCGGGGTCTGTGGGCAAACTCCGTCTCTTTGCCTCGCTCTCCCGTTCTCTTTGTCTCTCCGCTTCTCTCAGTCATTCAACACGCAGACTAGAAACAATGGCGAAGGGGATCGTGGTGCGGAATACGGAGTGGGAGGATAATTCCCTGTTTCCGATTACAGCAGATGTCATTTGTGTTCCCTTGAACTGTTGCATCGTGTGCGGCTCTAACTTGCAATCCCATTGTGTCAAACATGCACCCTGGCTTCTGCGTGTCCGCTGTTGGCAGGCTTTATGCATAAGCTTCAAAAAACCTCAAATTTACATGGCGTTTGCACGGGGTTGATTGAGTTTTATCCACAAAGTATGAAAAAATTACAGCATTTTCCTGCTATGCTGTATATGCGCCTATGTTTCCTTATAATGTGTTTTTTCTTTGGACCGTCCTCTCTTGTCCTTCGCATGATGAGATTACTCCCTCTGAACAAATGAATTACATGATTTTTACTTGCATTCGCTGGGTCTTGTAAGGCTTTGCATGCTTTCCTGGCATTAAAATTTGTCATAGTAATCAGAAATGGCCCACCTCTCCTGAGCAACTCAGCAGTAAAATGAATCGTCTGCTCCTGCAACCAGAGAGCTTTTAACTCTCTAGACATTTGTAGCACACAGTAAAGTTTCATTTTACTGTCCAAAGCAGCCTGAAGGCGCACATACGAGCTCCTCCTGCCAAATGGGATGCGGCATTATAGGATTGGTGTTCATTTATTTGAATGGCACTTTCAGGACTGAGTCAGGTTCTCTTGGGAGCGGGCATTTTTATTAACATTGACGAAAAGGAAGAGAAAATGGCGTGTTAAAGACATAACAGTGCGTTTACCAGTCTGGAAACCCAACACCACAGGCTAACAGCTGACCTTTTAGCCTATCTGATTTGTTTGACACCAGATCTATAGTCGCCATGGATGATAGAGTAGCACTCACACTCTCAGTAAGGGTGCATTGGTAGCAAATGCAGCAGAAAGACGAATGCCCTCTTGACCCTAAAGGTCCTAAAAGTAACATGAAAACTTCCTGTTTCTTTAAAATGACACGATGATTGAAATAAAGAAGTCAGTCTCTGCTCTTCCTGATATTTATCCTCTCCAACAAGCTGTCTAGATGGTGTGTGTTTGTACTGTGAGACTCAGATAGCTGGCTAATCATAGTGAGCTGCTGCAGGTTTGCTTGGTTAAGGGATCAGGAAGAGAAAGGCAAAGGGGTTCAGCCAACACAAGAGACAAGCTGCCACTGGTGAAATTATGATAACAGGAGCAGCTTATATGCATTTCTGCACAGCATTGTCTTTCTTAAAGGGACAGCTCACCCCTAAATCAAGAATACATATTTTTCCTCTTACATGTAGTGCTTTTTATAGAGTTAGATAGTTTTGGTGTGAGTTGCCGAGTGTTGGAGATATCAGCTGTAGTGATGTCTGACCTCTCTTGAATATAATGGAACTAGATGGCTTGTGGTGCTCAAAGCGCCAAAAGAAACTCAACAGCCATGTCCTTTCCAGAAGTCATGACCTGGTTCTTCAAGATAATCCACAGTCCTTGTTGTGAGCAGTTTCATGTGGGAACTATTTTCTTTCTGCTGAACTACACCATCAACCGTAGTACTGCGCAGAAAGAAGCGCGCATCTCCTCATGGACGAGAGGCTCGTGCTCATAACAGCTCAAGATGTAATGGCGTCCTCCTTGGCTGAGCTGTAACTTTAGCTAGCTCAGTGGTGCTAGGTGAGCTAGTTGTAGATGCAGGCTTCCTTCTGTGCAGTGATGTGGTTGTTGGGTGTATTTTGGATGAGAGAAAATAGTTCCTACATGAAACTGCTCACATCAAAGACTGGATTATCTTGAGTAACCGAATCATGATTTCTGGAGGGTGAAATTGTTGTTGAATTTTTCAGCTGTATCTTTTTTGGCACTGTGAGCACCACAAGCCAGTCCCATTGTATTAGAGAGAAGGCAGACATGTCTATGGCCGATCCAGATTAATAAATAGCTCTAAAGGTAAAAGGAAAAATATGTATTTTTGATTTTGGAATGAACCGTCCCTTTATGCTTTCCACTCATTCATGCTCTGTGTTTACAGCCTTTGTGTATCCTCACTGCTCCGTGTCTTTTCTCTTCCTGCCGCCATCTCTCATACACTAACACGCATGTATTTTGAAGGGGCTGCTCCAAACAACAGTTACAAATTGTTTTCTTTAAATGATGGGGGTTTATTTTCTTTGCCTAATCTGTGTTTGGCTGTGCAACCCTCCGTCTAAAGCTCCGCTGTGATCACCCAGCAGCAGGTCATGCCTCATTTGGGCCACTTTAAACATGTCCAATAGCTTACATAGATGTGTGTATGTCATGAGTTTGTGCCTCTTGAGGAGTTCCTGCATTGGTCATACACATACAAACATATACACCCAGTGTCTGCATGCGTGTGTTCTGTTCAGGGGGGTAAAGACAAGACGTTGTAGCAACATTTGCTATGAAAGCTAACAGGAAGAGCTGTAGGAGACGTTTATTTACACCACATGAAGCCTCAGAGGAATCAGCGGCGCACACTCAATACATGTGGAGGGTCTATATGGTCTACAGGGAGTCGTAAGAATACAATGCTGCTCTGTCCAGACTCCATCGATGTGCTATGCCCTCAGAGAGCCAGTGAGGCTGCTAAAGTAATTGAATCAACAGTTTATCCATTATTACTGATAGTTTCCTCCTCAGACGTTAACATCTAACAAGGCTTCACTTGCACATATTCAGAAATCCATCTTGTTACGTTTGACAGCGCCTTGCTGCACGCTGAATCAGGGCAGAATAAAGGGGACAGAAAATCAACCAGGCTGCTTGTTTACCAACTGGCGGGTAAGGTAAGAGCTCCGGGGAACTGACGGACGCTCCCTGACAAAATGAAATACCAATACCTGAGTCGCGCTCCACTTACATACCCTAAACAAACCCCTGGCAAGCATTGGAAAAATAATTACAGCTGTCCAGGGCCTGGCAGCAGTGTTGAAGAGGTAGACTGTTCAACATTCACTTTGCTTTCTGCACAGTTGGGCTACCAAATAATCTATCAGCACTGTGTATGTCCTCTGAAAGAAATGCTTTATCCTACAAGTTTGATATACTCTGTATGAGATACTGCAGTTACTGACTTTGCACACGTATTTTAAGCCAGTATGTGTACACTTACATGTCAAAGGGGACCATAATATTTATGGCCGAATTTCAAATAATAAGGTGAACATATGTAAAAGTGATCATTGATCAGACCGTTATGAATATGTTTTTTTTTTTTCTACTTTGCCACAAGATGACATCAGAATGTGACAGATTTATTTATATGGACTTCTGCTCCAGGCACGCTACTGCAAGTGTTAACATTGGACCTGGTAAATGGACCTGCACTTGTAAAGCACTTTTCTAGTCTTCCGACCGAAGCTCTTAAACACTACATGTCACATTCACACACACACACACACACACACTCTTGTGGCTGAGGCTACCATACAGTAACCTTTCACACGCTCTCACACACCGATGGAACAGCCATCGGGAGCAATTTGGGGTTCAGTATCTTGCCCAAGGATACTCCAATGCGAACTGGGGGAGCTGGGGGTCAATCCGCCAATCCTCCGATTAGTGAAAGGCCCACTCCACCTCTGAGCGTCAGTCACCCAAGCCACCTGCTACATGTAGCTAAATGTTAACACCTGGAAAACATTTAAAATTTGGTTTCTGATATTGTACATTTCTCCTGCTGGAACATGTCCAGTTGTGTTTAGAAACATTTATTGGTGGTTTTTAACAGGACAAAGTGCCACAATTCTCCATTACAGTCATTCCCCTGCTGCAAGTACACTGCTACATGTAGCTCCATGCTAACATCGAGTACACATGTAATCTTGGTTGCCGATGTTGTTAATTTCTCCTTGATTTCTAATCAGATTACCACTGGAGCATGTCCAGTTGTGTTTAGAAGCATTTATTGGTGATTTTTAACGTGAGAAAGTGCCACCATACAGTCACTACCACGCTGCAAATACACTGCTACATGTAGCTACATGCTAATGTAAACATGTAACCTGGGACTGGGCTTCATTGTAAGGGGGGGGCTTAAAGAGACAGGCACTAAAATAGAGTGTTTCAGAAGGAGGGTGAGAGAGACAGTATGAAGAAATGTCTTATTTGACCATTAAGGCATGTAAACATGTTCTAGTAGAAACACAAACCAAAAGTATAAACTTAAAAATGAGCATAAGTTCCCTGTAATTGTGTTTAGTTTGTATAATGGTTGTGCTTTTTGCAGCATTCTTCAGCCTAACTAAAGTGGGTACTGGTCTTGTGTCATAAAGACATTGTCTGTCTTTAAAGCGTATTATTATGCCCCTGTTAAAGTGTGTATTGTGTTGCTGTGTGCAGTAAATGTGATGGCAGTGTATTGGAAAGGCTCCATATGTTCTAGCTTTGGTCTGCAGACGATGTGTCACCTGATGTTTTGGTGTTTTTCTCCCAACAGGCTAATAAACATAAGGCAGATAACAGAGCCCTGTTCTGCCCTTATGATGTGCTATTACCTGCTATCTAACATCTGCACATGCAAAGGACATAGGAACGGAGCGAAAGATGGCAGCTGTGAGATGCTGTTTATGCTAAGATGAGCTATTGAATACAAAAGAATGGTGCTGGAAACAAGTTGACTTAGATTTGCCGTCTCTCTGTTTCACTCAGCCTCGCCCACTGAATAAAAGAGAGAGCAGTGAGGGGACCACCTATGGAAATAGTTTTAGGTTTACACTCTATCTAAACATTTGGGGAACTTATAATAGTTGAGTATAACATTATGATCACTCTGGTGCTGCGGTACATTGCTATCTTTGATATTGGCCCATTTATATGCATTATGCTTCAGCCACATAATTTAACTGCACAGACACAAGGACAAAGGTTGAATTATAATTCTCAACAGGAAAATGTCTCAGTGAAGATATAATACTCTGTTCTCATTTCACACACTTCATTGGCCAGGCAATGGCATCATTTGTTTTTCATGTTAATTGCCAGACTCACACCTTCTTTTGGCTTGCCAAGTATGCCACATAACATCATCCCGTATGAAACCAGCAACACGTGAATGATTCATCGACACTCAGTGAGCTCCGAGATGATGGCTTCAGGTCGCCTTTGTGGGGGCGTTAGAGTCGCACACTATTAGTCTGCCGGCTGACGCCATTTCGTCTTCCCACAGGTTCGACAGATCAAGAGGTCGGACCCTCGCTGGGCCTGAAAAAGTCCAGCTCCCTTGAAAGTCTCCAGAAGGCTGTTGCCGAGGGGAATGGTGAAATCAACGTCAACAGGCCGCGCTCACGGATTGTCAGGGGCCGCGGCTGCAACGAGAGCTTCCGAGCTGCAATCGACAAATCATACGAGAAACCTGGATCCTCAACGGCAGAAGAAGAGAACAGCATGGAGACATGTGAGTGTTTAGACACAGACAAGACTCTTCATTCATAGTAGTGCACCCAAAAGTGTGTCGTTATATAATGTACAATAAAAGATATTAGTTGATCATTACACAGAAACTTAGTGAGTGTAAAATAGGTCAGCTGAGTAAAGCTTCCCCAGAGCCTTTTCAGGATGGCAGGATTTACCCTCAAGTAAACTAGGTTAGGGATCCCCCCTCTTCTTTGTGTGTGTCATAAAACACATCTGCAATGAGCGTCTAGGTTACACACTCATTAATATTTACATAGTTCATGTTGAGTGGAATTGTCAGAGACTGTGGCGGCATGTTTCCCCAGGAGCGTACATACTCTTAAAGTGCATTGCCATGTTTTTAAACAAGAGTGCACGCAAGGAAAAAATTCCTCTGTTTACCCACATGGCTGCTATTGTATCCATTTTACACGTAATATCTCAATATCACATAACTGCATTTACAATGATTATAAATGAAATACACGTCTTTGCTTCGGTCAGTGCCAGTTAGTTTTGGCACGTAACGCCGTGCAACTTTGCCAGGATTCCTCACATTTGTTTTCCTGTGTACCTGACTGGGATTGAAACCAGAATTACCTTACTTTATCCCAAACTACGAGGGCAATATTAGAAAGGAAAAAGACATGCCACCATCCTTTTGAGTGAATATATCCATCCCTGCTTGGTGTTTGATGACAAAAAGACACGCGTTGGGGATCGAGAGACAGCCGTCTTACGTTTCGCGACAGGTAATAACACTGCAACACCACAAGAGTAATCACCAGATATAAATTTCCATTCACCATTAAAGGATTCCATTAAAAGAGCTGGGGGACATTTGAAAAAGAGGGAATTATTTGCCTGAAACGCTTTGTTCTCATAAGCTCTGTCGGCAAGCCACTAAATACAGTCTTATCTCAGCAAAGAAAAATGGGGAAAGCAACCGATTTCCCCTGCCGTGGTATATTGCATTCTCCCCCATGATATTCAAATAACTCTGTTTTTCAATTTAGATAAAAGCAGCCAGTCTGTGCTCGTCACTGAGGTTAATAGTCAAAGTTGACAGATAAGCCGCTGCCTTCCTCTGCTCCCAGACTTTTATTTACATAAAATAAGAATGTGGCATCACCTAAAGAAAATGTGTCCCCACAAGATATCCTGCTGGGCAAAATGCACTTCCCCTTGTGCTACTTTGTGTTGCAATGTTTGAGGAAATAAAAAGGGAAAAGAAAAATCTGCTCTGCAGTGCAAAAATCCGCTCTTTTATGCCTCAGAATAAGACCGGCAATTTTACTTGTCTGTCATAACCTTCACTGACAGGCCAGCTTAAATGTCCTTGATTATTAAAGCAGGAAAGTTTAATGGTAGAGTTTCACTAAAGTGACAAAATGTTTCCTGTGGTTGTCTGTCTCTGCAAATTATCTTTCAGTCTCCTGACACTTTCATCAATGGTCGTGCTGTCATTTGAGATTGTCAGCCAAGTCCTTTTATTTTCTCTGCTGTTAAATTGCTGTGGACGGCCTCACCTTTTGATGTCCGGTGTTAAAGTCTTTTTGTCTGTTTTCTGATCGCAGATAGCTTCCCTTTTCTCTTTTGATTTATTTGAAAGACTCAATTTAAATGGAAAATGACAGAGTTGCATTTGAGTGACACATTCCCTTTTGTTTTGCCTCCCCTGTAACCCAATATGAGGCCTTTCTATGGCTTCATTTAAAAACAATGCATACACATGTGCACGCGTCCACACCTCCAAGCACACATGGCCACCGTCCTCTGGGACAGTCTGGATTACAATGTTTAGTATGTTATCTGCAGCTTGGCATCATTAGGCGGTAGCGACATTAGTACTCCTGCTAATCTTAGTTATTTAAATAGCCAGATACAGCTCACAGCTGCTATTTGCTGCTGTTGCTCTTAAGTGAATGATAAGCAGGCAGCAGACTGAGTGATAAAACTGATACCCTGAACCTGCTTCCAAATTTGAGGTGGGGAAAGGGAAGGGAGGGGCTGGCGTGCGGAAATGAATTGCATAATTGTGCAGGTTTAAGCTCTGTGTTCCCGCTGTACAGTGCCCTGTGTCGAGATTCCATTTCAGTCATTTCCTCCGAGATGGCAGCTGAAAGAAATAGCTGATAACTCCACAGATCACAAGAGAAAACAAACCCCACTGTTCCTTGAAATGTGAATCCAACCCTCCCGTAGTGTGTCTCATCCCGTATACCTAAAATCCATCATAGTCTCTCCCTCTCCCGTCCTCACGATAAGCGCTTTTCTCTCCTCCATCAAAGGCAGAACTTAGACGAAGACACGCAAGACTGTAATAAGTTGTAATCTGAAGGACATCTACCTCACGCCTCAGAGACGCAGATACAGCGTAGACAGAAGCCATGCCGACTACGAAGTGCACCACATTTGCAATTAAGATCCCTGGGAGGCTTTTTTCAAGATTATTTAAATGTATAATTACTGACAGATTAATTACATTTTGCACATCAGTTCTGATTAGATGTGATGGAAACTTTGAGTTTAATCAACCCTGCATCACCTAAGGAGTTGGGTTTCAATTTGATGTCTGGGTTGAAATTAGTTGAGACGTAAATTAAGAAGCAGATTCACATGACTATCATTACAGCTTCCATCATACATCATTTTTATATGAAATGCAACAGAAAAGGGGGAAAAAAGACAGTTCTCTTGTGAGCTGTGTGAAATGTACACATCTTAAATAACTTGAGGCTTTCAGATAAGTGAGAATATGTTCAACTGAATACTATTCTCAAAGGGTGTATAATGTAAATATATTCTGCTGTAATGAGGCACATGAATTCAGTGTGTTTTGTTCAAAGCTGCCGTACCTTGTGGGACGCAGCTATTCTTTTAATGGTTCGTCTGATGAAAGAAGTGATGCTCTGTAACTGATAGAAAAAGAAGTGGTGTTGTTGTGTGCTGATTTCAAATGCTGCCTCTGTGATCCACGGGGAGTCAAGTGGAAGTTAAAGTTAAAGTGTCTGCCTTTATTATTGACTTACATTTTATTTCTCTTCCTATCCCTGTGTTTGTGTGCTGCTCGCTCTCTGTCTCAATATCTGTATTTAACACCCTCTCCCTCCACCTTATCTCTTCTCCCCAGTGGATGAGGACACTGAGGGAAGTTCCAGATCAGGTCGCGAGTCGATGTCCACCAGCGGCGACCTCATTGTGGGGCCCGGGCTGAACGGCAACCTCTCCAAAGATGACAGGCAGAAAGATCGGGACAAGGTTGGGGGGAAGGAAAAGAAGAAGCCAGAGAGGGAGAAAGACAAGGAGAAAGACAAGGACAAGAACAAAGCCAAGAAAGGCGTGCTGAAGGGTCTGGGCGACATGTTCAGGTAGGAACAAGACAGCTCAGCTCAAAGCCCTAAACTCTCCCTGTGTCGCCCCGAGCGCCAAATGCTATCTGCTTTATTTAATTCCACTCAACACTTTCACCACCGGATCATTCAGAATTTGAATGCATTCTCTGGATGTTGCCTGTGCTAATCAGGGACCCCTCTCCTTGAACCCTGTGAGATGGAGGGAGTGGATGGAGGGGAGGGGGAGTTATCGACCTCGAGGGGCCTCTGGCACTTTTGAGCCAGATTATTTTTAATAAGGGCAACATGTTTTATTCATAATCCCATGTGCGCGCTCCTCCTATCCAAACACGCTCCGCATTTGTTAACCAGCGGACAATGTTCAGGGCCCAGACGGGTGCTAATGTGGGAGCTGTGATTTGGTTCTGGGGATAAAAGACCTTTGAAGATGATAAAATCGAGTGTGGGTTGGAATTGTTGCCTGTGGCTGCTGTTCTCAGCGGCTGTCTCATCATGTGGGTGCAAGATTCTAGAGGCAGACCCACCTTGGGATGATAGGTGGCGTGATTCTGCACTCATTAAGATATTCATCAATTTAAGAAATGTTCGCAAGCAAAATATTTAATATGAGTAATGTCATTTTAGCAGTACCGTCATATGCTGTAGGTCTTCCACATTGTGTTATCACCTCACATACACCAGGAAGTTGGAGGCGAATTCAAAGCAGACATCTACGCTGGCAAATTTTGCGAGTGTTGGGTTTGTCTCTCGGCCTGGATACTAATTCCATTGCCTTTGAGGACTAATGGGCAAAAACATTTTCAAGTTCTTTACCCCGAGTACGTTGACTTTGGACTGTACAGTACACTGTGTGCATAGACAATAGCAGGAGGAATGTGCAAAGAGACAGAGGATGAAAATAAACATCCTGCGGGTATCCAACCAGTGTCGCTGCCACAAGGAAATTAATGGAGGAGTCACATTAATTATTTCAATTCCGTGCACATTTGAATATGGCATAAATTAACGGTGGAGGCGGTGCGGGCCGTTATCGTGCCTTGAGTTGTTTTCATGTGGATTAGTTTAATGGGATTAGTTAGCATATCGCGGCACATGGCTCAGTAATGAACAATAAAGACGACAAGTGTGTTTCGAGGTCACGATTGAGGAATGCGGGGAACTCGCTTATCTTCCATTATTTTCACTCTTGTGAATTTTTTTCCTGCCTTTGCATCCTGTGGTGTAAATGCATAATGAGTCACACAGGCTCACATTCTGTCTCACACCAGGCGTGAGCACATATGTGGAGTACGCGCACACATTCACAGGAGTGCACACACGGAGAAGAAGTGTGCTGGATTAGTAAATGAAAGTGGAAATTTGAGCCACAGGTTTGACACTCTGTGACATGCAATCAGCGCCGTTGGCAAACCTTTTTGAGTGGCTGTGTGCTGAGCCCGATAGGTGGCTGCCGGGTGATTTTAGCTGCGCACGTGGCCCTCGGCATGCCCTCCTCGGCCTCATCATCGTTCTTCATTATCTTTGAGTGCCACCGCCACTTAAGAGTTGGCACGCGGCAGGCCTCGCTGACACTCCCCCCTGCTCCATGCATTTAACGCTGGGCCCTGTGCCTCCTGAATGCAAAGAGGCAGCCTTCTGAACCAGCATGTCTCTCCGACGCTCAAGCTTTGTCTTTCCTCCTTTCCGCTACTCCTACTCCTTGTTGATACCTCAAACAATTTCCTACTTAAAACTGTGGCAGCTCTCACACCCACACATCTCCTCTGTCCTTTTCTCTTGTCTCCCTGCTCAGGTTTAGAAAGATAGAGATGGCAAGGAGCTGAGGTGAGAGTGAATGTGTCCCACTGGATACAATAACAAACTTTTTTTGTAAAGAGTAAAATGTAGTGATGTGGAATGCCTAGCGGTCAAAAGGGAGGAGAAGGAAAGAAAGTAGAAGATCTGTTGTCTGTCGCACTTTTAGCAATTCTAGCCAAAGTTTTGACAGTGATTTCAGAACGGAGAAGTTTTACTGTGCGTAAGAAAAAGGGTTCGGCTGACAGTAACTCAACACTCTCAGGCTTATGAATCACGGAGAGACTTTACATCAGCGAGTTTCACGTGTGAGTGTCTCATCATTGCATCAAAACATCAAAAGGGCATCCTGATTGGCTTAATCCTTTGTAATGCTCGTCTCCGCCGTTTCCATTTGCATAAAATGGACAGGCAGGCAGGCGCTCACTTTTTCCTGCATTTCTCACACATGTGTGTCTTACACTCACGTTTTCCCACTAAGGAGATTTCAAGGAGTTTGCAGCGCACTGCAATTTGAGCTCATTTGCATGCAGGCCTTTGGACGGCCTGATGAACGTGTAGTGCACGTCTGCTTAATGGACAGCCTGATTGGGAGTGCATTAACATGAGAGCCAGGGGAGAGGAGGATGGCCTAATATAAGGAGAGAGAGGGAGGATAGAGGGAGAGACTGTGAGATAAATACTCCGAGTGCAAGAATGACTGAAAGTGTGCGAGTGTGTGATGGAAAGAAAATTGACTGCCTGAAGCCCAAAGCAAAGAAACTGCAGTGCAGATCCCCGGCTCCCCTGCCTCTCTATCTCATACTGTACTGCCTATAGGATGGCAGACCGCCTGGTATACTGAACCATCCAGTAATGAATAGCTTATAATCTTATGAATGGATAGCAATGTGCATGCATGCATAGGATAAAAAACCAGCCTGAGGCATCTTGGCATCATTGTTATTTTAAGGATGTCTGCTGCATGCATGTATCACAGTGCCTCCATCCAGTGGATATACTGTGGTGGGGTGCAGGGCAGCGCGTCATCCCCCAAACCATTGTATGTGATTATTCATGTTCTTCCTAGTGGAAAACATGTGATCATTACTTTCTGATTCTATCAGGTCTGTTTATATGTTGGGAGCTTTGCCCAGGGCTCTGCTAGCATGCTAGCAGACAATGATGTCCCGGCCCGGCCTGCAGTACTCCCTTCAACACGCCTAATGAGGTGTTGTTTATCTGCTCTGTGACTGAATGACCTCCTCCATCAAAGCCCTATCTCCATCTCTTGATATGTTTATGAGTGTTTGACCATGATGTGTGTGTGTGCGCACGCAAAATAATACCCATCCTGAGTTATTTATTATAGAGTTGAGTGTTAAATTGTTGAAACAAAGTGAAAATGCATATTTTAATGAGTTGATTTGATGGACATTTTTGCATTGTGTTTGCACATGTAATTGCTAGAGCAAGTAAGCGCACATCCATCTTCTGTGTGTGTGTGTGTGTACATTCATATTTTTACATCTAAATGATATTTTATAAGTGTGTAAATGGGTCTTTTTAAGCGAGTGTACAGTAGCAAAAAGGAAACAAGGGAATGAAGGCTGTAAAAATGGAAGGCAGGGTTAGGACGGAGCAATGAGGGCCAGAGAGGTGGGGGTGGAGGTTTGGATTGGGTGAGGGTGGAAGGAGAGAGGGAGCGTGTGCACTGGAGTGAACTGGGGCACCAAGGGAGAGTGGGAAAGGAGGATGAAAAGGAAAAGGAAGAGGGGGAATGAGAGAAGAAGGGAGCTTTTCACAGCGGCAGTCACGGCATCGGGCTACTGTCTGCCTGAAGGGAGGATCGAGGATCTCTGGCAATTTTAAAAAATTGTGTGTGTGTGTGTGTGTGTGTGTGTGTGTGTGTGTGTGTGTGTGTGTGCTCAAGGTTCATTTAAATTTGCATGTGTGTGTGCGTGTGTAATGCATGTTTGCATGTGTGTGCGTACAGATGAAAAGATGTGTTAATGGGCTCTGGCATAACCCTCACCCTTTCTCCCCAATGCTTCCTCAACCATACACACACACGCACACACACACACAGTTGCTCTCACCCCTGCCCCCCACTCCTACCAATCTGATAAGTGGCATGCCTCACGTTGAGTCATCAGTCGACACTGGAGCTCGGTGTGACAGCCATGCACCCCACCCATCCCCTTCTCCTCACCCAACCCACCCTCCATCACCCCAGGGATCTTGTCTGCCTGCTCCTCCCTGCAGATGCAGCCCCACTCAAGGCTATATGGAGAGAAGCGGGAGCGAGGGGCGTGGAGTGGAAAGGAAAACTAGAGTGGAGGGATGCTTTCTATCCTTCAATCTTTATTATTCTTAGGCAGTGTGGAAGCACGCTGGGAGCACTGGGAGTGCGGGGGGGTTGGCATGTGTGTGTGCGTTTGCATGCCTAGAATGTGGATACTGTGCCACGAAAGCATGATCGCTTCATGTGTAGCATGAGAGTAGGTAGTTAGCGTGTTCCTGCTCCACTCCGTGCCTTTACACCATATGATTCTTTCTGCTTGTGTGGGTGTGAACAGCTGATGGTGGGTAAGCCAGCTTGATCATTAGTACACCGACATGACACATGCATTAGCTTGGCTTTTTATACACACACATGACCGAAGGCGTGCCTGATGGATCAACACACGCACTTTCTCTGTAAAACGCACCCCTCTTCTCCTCCACCTTCTGCAGCACTCACACATACACACACACACACAAAGGCTCACATATGCTTGTAGTATTATGCCACAGTTGATTTGGAGACAGCAATTAGCTGCCGCCACATGTGGGCCCTGACATCTGCTGAATGTAATCTGAGAGAAAATGATAATTGTTCTTCTTTTGCTCTGCCTCCCTCATCATAATGTCGGTGCTGAGGTAGTGAAGGCGAGCACAGGGCACAGCATCAAGCCGGAGCTTGTATGTGAGAATGACTGGCAACTGAATTGAGGTGAGGAATATAAGGCAGGCAGCAGAAGATAATTACATGAGAAAAAAAAAAGTAACACATCATGGACTGTGGATGGTGATGCAAGAGCAAACATCAGCTCAGCAGGGTGGCGAGTGATTGGGGAAGTTGCTTCTCTCATCTCCAAGCGGTCGAGGATTCAATCCCTTGAAGTGCCCGCGAACAATGTGACAGTGTGATTTCCTGTCAGCTCTCGGGGCACTTTTGTGCTGCTGACCCTGACCTCTGA